CCTTTACTATGTTGAGGTACTTTCCTTCTGTACCCATTTTATTGAGAGTTATTATCATAAATGGATATTGGATCTCTTCAAATGCTTTCTCTGCATCTATTGAGATGATCATGAGGTTTTTAGTCCTCACTTTGTTAACGTGGTGTATCACATTCATTGATTTCTGGATGCTGAACCATCCCTGTGTCCCTGGTATAAACCCCACTTGATTATGGTGTATGATCTCTTTAATGTATTGCTGTATTCAGTTTGACAATATTTTGTTGAGGATTTTTGCATGAATATTCATCAGTGATATTGGCTTGTAATTTTCTTTTTCTGTGCTTTCCTTGTCTGGCTTTCTAATCAGTGTGATGTTGGCCTTGTAGAATGTGTTAGGAAGTGTTCCATCTTCCTCAATATTTTGGAATAGTTTGTGAAAGATTGGTATTAAATCTTCTTTGAATGTTTGGTAGAATTCTCCAGAGAAGCCATCTAATCCTGGACTTTTAAATTTTGGCAGGCTTTTGATTACTATTTCAATGTCTTTACTTGTGATTGGTCTATTCAGATTCTCTATTTCTTCCTTCAGTTTGGGGAGGTTGTATGAGCCTAAGAATTTGTCATTTCTTCTAGATTGTCTAATTTGTTGGCAGATAGTTTTTCATATTATTCTCTTATAGTCCTTTGTATTTCTGTTGTATGCATTGTAATTTCTCCTCTTTCATTTCTAATTTTATTTATTTGAGACTTCTCTCTGTTTTTATTAATGAGTCTGGCTATGGGTTTGTCAATTGTGTTTATCTTCTCAAAGAACCATGTTAGTTTCACTGATTCTTTCTACTGCTTTTTTTTTTCTGTTTCCATTTCATTTATTTCTGTGCTAATTTTTATTATTTCCCTCCTACTGCTGACTTTGGGCTTTGTTTATTCTTATTCTAATTCTGTTAGGTGTAGTTTAAGATTGCTTATTTGAGATTTTTCTTGTTTGTTAGGGTGGGCATGTATTGCTATGAATTTCCCTCTCTGGACTTCTTTTGATGCATCCCATATGAGTTGGTATGGTGTATTTTCAATTAATTTGTCTCCAGAGAATTTTTCATTTGTCCTTTAATTTCTCCAATGATTGATTGGTTGTTCAGTAACACGTTGTTTAGTCTTCACATATTTGTCACCTTCCCAGCTGTTTTCTTGTAGTGGATATCTAGTTTTATAGCATTATGTTTGGAAAAGATACTTATGATTTCAATCTTCTTAAATTTATTGAACACTGCTTTGTTTCTGAGTATATGATCTATCTTTGAGAAAGTTCCATGTGCACTTGAGAAGAATGTGTATTCTGCTGTTTCTGGATAGACTGTTCTATATATGTCTATTAATTCCATCGGTTCTACTTTTTTGTTTAAATCCACTATTTCCTTGTTGAGTTTCTGTCTAGATGATCTATCCATTGATGTAAGTGGGATGTTAAGGTCCCCCACTATTATTGCGCTGCTGTTAATATCTCCTTTTAGGTTTGTTAATAGTTGCTTTATGTGCTTTGGTGCTTCTGTGTTTGGTGCATGTGTATTTAAAAATATGTTTTTGGTAGAGTGTCCCTTTTATCACTATATGCTGTCCCTCTTTGTCTCTCATTACCTATTTTATCTTGAATTCTACTTTGTCTGATGTTAGTATGGCAATACCTGCTTTCTTTTGTTTGCCATTAGCTTGCTTTGCTGCCCTAAATATCTTTTCTTTGTCATTGACTTTTGCCAGCTTTAATTCTATCTGCCTTGGAGAAGGTCTTTTTACATTGATATAATTAGGAGTTCTATTGAATTCTTATTTCCAGCTCTGTCCCCAGGTTTGGGAAGTTCTCAGCTATTATTCCTTTGAACAAGCTTTCTGCTCCATTCTTCTCTTCTCCCCCTGGAATACCTGTCATCGTTATGTTGCATTTCTTAATTGAGTCAGATATTTCTTAGACAGTTTCATCATTTCTTTTTAGTCTTAGTTTTTTCTCCTCTTCCATCTGAAGCATTTCTATATTTTTGTCCTCCAGACTGCTAATTCTCTCCTCCGTAATATCAGCCCTATGATTCAGGGATTCCAGATTTTTCTTTATCTTAACCATTGTGTTTTTGATCTCCAACATTTCTGATTGTTTTTTCTTCACAGTTTCAGTCTCTTTTGTGAAGAAGTTCCTGATTTCCTTGAATTGTCTATCTTTATTTTCCTGTAACTTGTTGAAATTTTTTTATGATGGCTATTTTAAATTCTCTGTCATTTAGCTCATAAATTTCTGTGCTTTCAGAATTGATTTCTGCATGCTTGTTATTTTGCTTCTGATTTGGAGTATTAATATCTGTTTTCATATTGTTTGATGGCACCAATTTGTGCTTCTCTGTAGTGATAATACATGGTCACAGCCTCCACCTGATGATACTAGGTGGGGGTCAAGAAATGTGTATTCTGAAACTTCCGCCATCCATGGCTTGTTCATTCATAGCTGCTGCTTTTCTATCGTATGTGCAGGTTCTCTGGCCAACTGGCCGGGTTGGAGCACTGGAGAGGGAAAAGGGTGCTTTCTTTCACCTGAGTGACCCCAGCGGCATTCTTGCTCTGCCCTTGTTATCTGCTTTCCTGGGATGCTGGCTTGTTGAAGACACCCCAACAATACCTTACTCACCTCTCTGTCAGGTTTTCCCAAGTTCCTATAGGGAACTTGGAGAATGAAGGTGCTCCTGTGGAAGGCTGCCCCTCTTCCTCCTCTTCTCAGAGCTGTGCATGGCCCCACACCCTGGATTGCTACCATTAGAGGAAGGAAAGGAGATCCTCTTACCTCTTTCCACTTCCTCTGGAGTGTCCAGCACCCACACCTTCAGATATATGCCTGTGTTGGTCACCTAGACATCTTTTGTGTTGTATAAATGTCTTCTGGTGGTATATGAATGTCTTTTTCATTGTATCTTGGGGGGACAGTCTAGGGAAGAATTCACTCCACCCTGATGCTGACATCTGTCTCTCTCTACAGTCTTTGATTTACTCTAATAGCAATCCTTTCTTTTTGACCCTTCTTTTCTTTCCTTCTTTCTTTTTTTCTTTATTAATCCTTCTCTTTTTCCTTTGCGGGCTTCTCTTTAGGATTCTTCCTTCAAAATGCAAACATTCCTCCACTTTAGGGTTATCTTTGGCTTTTTAAAATCTGTCTACTTAATTATCAGCTGTCTACCTATCTACCTATCAATCAATAAGCTGTTTTCTCCAATGGAAATTCCATTTGCCACTTGACCATTTTTCAAGCAGCACTGAAATTCTCATTTCTAGATCAAACTCCAGATGGGCTTTTTGTATAATTTACACCACTTATCCCATGTGGATAGTTCAACGTGTAGGGAACTCAGCTCAGCATCCTCCCTAAATCTTTTTATCTCCATTCCCTCTCTCCATTAATGATCCCATTGTTCTTCCTATTCTCAGATGTAAAATTTCTTGATTCCTTACTCTCTCAAACCAACCACGATGATTTATTATTTAAACAATGTGATTCTAAATTTCAAAATATTTTCCCATCCTCCCCTGATCATTTATTTCCAATACTACCCTAGTTATTATACAAACCCTACTAGATTATAGGCTCACTCATAGTTTTATGCCTTGGGGTACATTGTACAGTGCCCTATACTGTAGTTAGACACAACACATGCAGCTGTTGAAGATTATAATTTCTAAATTATAATATAATCATATAACACATAGTTTATAATTTGTAGTCTTTGTTTTCCTAAGAAATATAAGCTAAAATTTGGAGCTTCCCTTCAAATAAATCACACGACTAGAAATTGATATTAAAGTTAAATTTTACATGCTGTAAAAAACAACTCTACATGATGTATTTTCTACCACTCAAAATTTAGACTTTATATTAATGCTTGTATAGGTTGGAAAAACCTGATTTTCAGGTTGATATTACAAAATAACAGCAACTCATGAAAAGTAATAACTTCAATTCAAAAACTGGACAAGAGAAAGTATGCTACCATTTGTTGAGTGCTCATCATTGGCGAGTACTGTGATGAAGACCGTACATATGCAGTTCAATTTAAACCTTACAATAAGTGGTGGAGTCATATCATTTTATGGCATTTTACACATAGCGAAAGTTTCATATATTTATTTTTCCATGATCACACATCTAGTAAATGTCTCCCCTGAAGCTCAGATTTAACTTTTTATTTTTAAAATCACATTTGCAGGAATATGTAACAGGCTTCTGTCTTACCATGCAACGTAGATAAAGTTTAAGAGGAAAAAAATATGTGTATTATATTTGGGAATTTTTAAATAAAAATAAAAGTTTTGGGTAAGCTAAAGCATTTTCAGATCTCTAAAAGCATCAGTCATGCTTTACCTAGCCTCCAGGCATTTATACAAACTCTTTTCTCTCCCTAGTAAGATAAAAGCATAATATAGCAATAAGTGAATAGCATTAGAATCATTCACACGGGGGTCAGCCCCGTGGCCGGGTGGTTGGGTTCATGCGCTCTGCTTTGGCAGCTCAGGGTTTCACCAGTTCGGATCCTGGGTGCGGAGGTGGCACTGCTTGTCAGGTCATGCTGAGGCGGCATCCCACATGCCACAACTAGAAGGATCCACAACTAAAAATAGACAACTATGTACCAGGGAGCTTTGGGGAGAAAAAGGAAAAATAAAATCTTTAAAAAAAAAAAAAGAATCATTCACACAGTCATTAATTTAATAATCAAAACTTGAGTGCGTACTGTGTATGGTGATTCCATTGTTCCTGGAAATTACAATCTAATGAGGAAGAAATGTATTCATCACATGGATATTCTACTTATTTGCTGTGTGAACGTGGATAATCTACTTATATCTTTGAGCCTTAGTTTCCTTACCTATAAACAGAATCTAAGAATTGTGACTGTATCAGACTATTGTGATGAAATAATATAGAAACATTGTAATGTGCTTAGCACAGTTATGGAATAGTTATGTTATATTTGAGTTTCAGCCATGTTTTTCGTTCTTTTTTGTTACCTCTTCACTTTCCTAATTCTCATGCATCGCTTAGCAGTCTGATTGCTACATCCAGGAAAGCAAGCTGATTATACATCATTCTTTCCAGGAACGCTCCCCAGAAATCCCAGGACAAAATGAGGTATCATTTTCATATGTATTTGCATATCCATCTGTATATATCACTATGTTACAAATCACGTTATTTTGTAAGAACCTACATATATTTTGCATCCCAAATTGGACTATGGTTACTAAGGGGAGGGCAAACTCTGTGCTCCTCACCAGTGTGTTCCCAGCATCTACCACATTCTCAGATCACAGTGGACTTCTATTAAGTGTTTCAGAATGAATGTGCTTGGAGTACAGAGGAATAGCGGGGAGGTAGGAGTGGTGACCTTCATGACAGTTGTTTCAAGATTTCAACATGAATTGGGTCTGCAGTGGTTACTACAGGAAGGCCATTATCAATTCATCACCTTCTGGAATTCTTTAGCTCTCTGTGCTGCCTTTTAGTTTAGTAGTGCTCCACAGTGGAAGTGGTAAAACAGGCTGCATGTGCCATTTTTTGAGGATATTATTGCAAATGTCCGTATATCAAGAGGAAGGCTGGACTCAAGAAAATTCCTAAGCACCAAACAGAAATTTATTATCTAGTTAGATCTTGCTTAAGAAAATGTAATACTTGGTAAATAAAATCTGAAAATATAGTACTTATTGTCTTGTTATATATAAAAATTGAATAACCCTGATTCTTGGACAGAACTTGTGGACTCAGTTAATATTTGTTATAATATATCATGAGTCACATTATTTCATTATTCTGGCTATACAGATTAAAAACTTAAAGATACTGAACTTATTTTCATTTCCTCCGAGAAAGTGAGTAAGTTCACTTTTGGAATGATTTTCAAAGCATTTTTATTCTAGCAGTGGCTCTTTATAATAAACTAGGAGAACTTCATCCTTCATTGATGGATGTGGGCTGCTCTGCTGATGTGACATTTACTTTTTTGTAAGATTTTCCTTTAAGAAATATAGTTACTGATCCTCTTTTAACAATTACGCATAGAATATAAGAAGGAAAACTATAATTTATAACCCTCTTTCGAACACAGCAATCTAGAAAGGGGTTCATTCAAAGGTAATGCAAACAAAACAAAACAAGGGAATGTGAAAAGAACAACAGCAACCAAAACAACAAAAGAAAGAGGTTGGAAAAGCTTTCAAAACTTGTAAAGCTTTAATACAGTGTATTTGACATATCTCGGTGGACTGTGCATCAGAGGGGAAAAAAAGCATGTCATTGCTCTGAAACTGTCTTTTCTAATTCAGTGCATCCATGTATTGTTATAAATCTGTTTCTCAATCTTGCTTTCTCACTGAAAGATGCAGACACAAGGGAACAAGCTTCACTGCTATCTATCAGCTCGGATAAGGAAAAGCTCCTTTCAGCCTGACACTGACAGCTTAATGAAATGGAGGCAAAGATGCATGCAGATGAGAGAAAGACTGGTAAGGTAATGACCATATGTGGTACTTAAAATGGACAAGAGGTAGGATGACTTGTAGCTGTGTTTTTATTCCCTTATGCAAGGACAATGAGGCTAAGGTAAAAAAAAAAAAACTGCTTTCAATGAATGGTTTATGGAAAATACTTTCACAACTTTATATACACAACTCAAATATGGCCTAGTTAAGTCATTGAAGCTATAGCATTTTTTTTTTTTTAAGAAAATAAGCTGTAGGGTTTTTCTTTTTCCATTTTGGTAAATGAAGATGATGATAAGATCTCAGGTCCCATCATGTAAACTCGCATTATATATTGTGATTCCATACCATTCCTTGCAGTTGAATTTTTTTTTATTTAAAGATTGGCACCCAAGCTAACATCTGTTGCCAATCTTCCTTTTTTTTTTTTTTTTGGCTTTTACTCCCCAAATCCCCCCAGTACATAGTTGCATATTCTAGTTGTGGGTCCTTCTAGTTGTGGCACGTGGGACCCGCCTCAACATGGCTTGACAAGCGGTGCCATGTCTGCGCCCAGGATCTGAACCAGGGAAACCCTGGGCCACCAAAACAGAGCGCACAAACTTAACCTTTCAGCCACGGGGCTGGCCCCGCAGTTGAATTTTTTAAATCTAAAGATCAGAGAGATTTACATAAAATGAACTGAAAATTTACCCAATCCTTTACTCAAAACAGCAAATATTTATTAGCATTCATTTCTCTGTTAGTTTTTATTTTCACATGCCTCCACCCTTCCTTAGCTTCTATAGAAAAAGGAGAATGGGGGAAAAAAACTAAGGACTTCCTTTCCCACACTCATTGACTGTCAGCAGGAAGAACTTAACGTCTTGTGAGAAAATCAGAATTGTGAGAGAATTACAGTGATGAAAGAGGAGATGATTTTGGTTAAAATGTTTTGAAAAAGAATATAAAATTTAGTGTGTACCCATATTAAATTCAATCACTAATCCTTAAAAGGCTTCCCTATCCATGATTCATTCCTGATTTGTATCCAATTTCCAAAGAATGTTTATGAACTGTTCTCTATATTTGTTTTAAGTTACTAGTGTCCTCTAAAATACACAAGTCACCTTATAGAAATACCACAGACAGAAGTAACATAAAGATATGCTGTTTCTAGGACTTTTACCCATTATTTAAATGTCTATAATACCATTAGGATTACTAGTAGAAGAGAAACTTGCTTTTTGCCAATCATAGCTAGATTTGTATTTAATGTCACTCCGTATCCTCAGGGCATTATAGAACTTACACGAAGGATACAGTTGGAATCAGAATTAGCAGAAAGATTAATGCTACAGCTTTAAAGAATATGAAAAACCATTCCTGAAATTCTGTTCTTAAAGCAGTTTAAACCAGGTGCTTCATCTTCATATGTTGAAGGTTTCTGACCTCCATTCTCTTCTCCATCATTTTTTTCTTTACTCTCTTAACTAGAGCCACAGGGGGAAAAAAATTGAGATGTATTAAATTAATTCACTTTTTCATTTAAACTTTAGGGATACCCACTACTTCACAGTCACTGAAGATTTATCAAAAGGCAAGATGAGAGACGTAATACTGAGAGAAGATTGCTTTAAAAATATATAGAACATATATTATATAAAATTATATTTATACATATAGAACATATATATAAAAAAATATATATTTAAAAATATATATGAACTCTTCCAGACTTTTAAAGTATATTCTGAGATTGCACTAGATTGCCAGAAAACTGTGTACCTAATAATTTTATTGGTACTTCAGAACAAAAACGCATTTCACTTTACCATTACTTTATGGCAAAAGTTATTACCAAAAAAAAAAAAAAAATGCTAAGGAACTCATTAAGGGATCTTCTGTGCCAATTTTCTTTTCAGCTAAAATTAACTAATTGCTCTAAAGATTGCTCCTTATTAATTTCAGTATTTCTGAACTCCAGGAGAATTCTCACTGAAAAATTTGGTAATATTGATTTTCTTATGGACAATGGCTTTTGTGTAAAGGACAAATCTCATTTGTCCTAATGTAAGTTTATAAGTCTTTATGGTAGATTTGAATAGACATTATCTTTGATAAGGCTGTCTCACTTTATTTATTCCCTTTTACATAGCTGACAAATTTATCATGTATTTTATGCAGTTATATGAACTAATTGATGCTTACTCTAATAAATCCATGAACACATAAACAACTATGCAAATAAACAAATACATACACAATTACATAAGTAGATGGATAGATAAGTCTTTAGGTTGATGATAGAAAGACAAATCAATATATAATCCTTATTTTGAAATAATATAATGTGCTAGGTGCTGAAGACGCAGAGATGAAAGACTCTTCATTCTTTCCTAAAGAAAATTACATTTGATGGAAAAGACATTAAAATGAGGTACGTATAATGATTGATATAAGCAGGAGCAGCATTAAGGGCATTAAAACCATACAAGGGTGGAGAAAGAGAGACAGAAGTTGATGGCCAGTGGAAACTTCTTGCAGCAATCTCAAAAAATTAATTAAAGGTGGAAATACTCCAAGTTGCTGGAGAGTCATATACAAAGGCAATGCAATATGAGAGAATGGTTCATGTTTGGGAAACATCAATAGAAGTTTAGTGTGGGGCAGCATCATGTGCAAGGAAAGTAGTGGCCAAAAATAATGAGCCTTATGTTTAATGAAAAAATAAATGGGAATCCGACCTGTAATGCAGTGTTATATAAAAATTTCCACCCACAACTAGAAGGACATGCAACTAAGATATACAACTATATACAGGGGGTGGTTTGGGGAGATAAAGCAGAAAGAAAAAAAAAAAGATTGGCAACAGTTGTTAGCCCAGGTGCCAATCCTTAAAAAAAAAAAATTTCCTAAAGATCCTGTTCAGTAGGTAGAACTTTGAAATATTCATTTTTAGTACATATCCCAGTTAATTCTGAGGTAAATAATTGGATAAAACTTTTTGGAAAATGGCTTTGTAATGGGAATCCTTTCGAAGTGTTCATGATATGGTAAAAAGGGAAAATTTCTTTTGAAAATAAAAAACCCTCTGGTAGGTGGGTGAAGAAATGTTATAATAAGTTGGTAGTAGGCAATAATACAAATTAGGAAGTTGTTGAATAATCTAGGTGAGAGGTGATAAACCTCTCACTTAAGACACTACTGGGAGTGGACAAAAGGTATGAGAAAAGATAAAGAATCAACTGGACAGTACAAAAGCCATCACTTGTGTCTACTAAAATCTTTACATAATTTTAATAATTCAGTCTTCACATTCCCACATTGAGCATGTGTGTTAACTCCTTTTATAGAAACAGAAATTTTCAAAGCTGGTTTAAATAACTTGCCAAGGTTACATGGCAAGGAATAAGATGCACAGGATTCCAGCCCATACTGATTTCAAGGCTCATTATTGTCAATTCAGTGATGCACCACCTCTTTTGTGAATTAGAGAATACGAACTCCACTTTGCAAAAGTGTGCCTGAGAAAGGACAGAAAGAGACAGACCTATAACTAGGGTGAAATTGATAGTCTAGGGCATCTATTTCTGTGGTTGTTGCTGCGATTTTTAAGAGGGAGTTGATTTAAGAACGTTTATTTGCTGAGGGCAATATGTTCGTAAAGATGTAGACATGAAGAGTGGGAAAATTTATATGACCCGATCATGGAGAAGCAAGGAAGATGGCATCTAAAGCATAGTTAGGAAACAGACTGTAAAGAATAAGATGGATGCTTTCTCTTGTGGGTCAGAAGAGCAAGATGTAAGGACGGGTATAAAGGAATAAAATGTCAAAATTGGGGGAAGAGACAGAATCATGGGGAAGGAAGCTGACTTTCCTTATTCTCTGTGGCATAATCATGTTTCAAAGGAGAGATCACAGCATCTAAGCTCTATAGGAAAAAGCATGAATTTCATAGAGGGTTGATAAGTGGGATAAAACGTGACAATCAAGACGTAGAGTCTTCACGAGGTCAAGGAAAAATTACATTAGATACAGCTGATTGAGAGCTGTAGAGAATGGCTAAGAGGGATACATTACATTTTGCTGAAGGCAGAGGAGTTCCAGGTAATAAAAAGTTCCAGGGAGGGGCCATAGATAAAGGTGAATGAGGTTTTCTCTTGAACTGAAGCAACAAATATTTGAAGGCACAAAGAAAAGCACCAGTGAAAGAAGGCACTAAAAATATTGCTGCAAATATAGAAATCTTTTAAAGAAATTGATCATATATAGTTTCCTTTCTGTATGATAAATCATTTTAAACTTAACTTCATATCAGGCATGAGGAATCTGAAGCAGAAGTGCTCTTACTTCTCTCTCATAGCAGGTATTGCTTATCAATCTGAGCGCTCATTCATTAAAAAAGAAGGACAGCTTCACATTCCATTTTAACTTAGCACTCTAGGCAACCACATTAGTTTGTTAGATTACCTCAAATCTATTTACTATACTTGACATATGGTAAATAGCTTACATTGACAATTTTATAATAGTAGCATTGATCATTTTGACTCCACTGGCTTATGATTTTTAAACAGTGCTATTAATATAAAAATATTCTTACTACTGAAATTATTTTTAAAGTTATTTGGATATTATCCTAATTATAAAGATAATTGAAAGGATACAAAAAGCTATCTAATAATTTAAATATTTAGTACTCTGTCAGATTTTTTTCTAAATGTACATATCTGTACATATCTCAATGTATTTTTAATTGATCTATTGGAGTATTTAGAAATACATAGAATGAAAGGGAATTAGTAGGGAAAATGAGAAAAATCATGAGATTACTTACTATACAGGAGAAAAAAACATTGAATTTTTAAAAGTGCCGTCACTTTATAAGTTCCCTGACATTTAGAATCCCTCTGAACTCATATTTCCAGCAGCAGAAATGGAGCAATTTGTTCTGTAAGCACTGCTATCGTGAAGACGTATTGTGCTCCATGCTCTCCATTAAGTTTTCATTTGCTAAACCGGAGTCAACTAAAGCAGGAGAAATATATTTTGAGAGCAGGACAGAAAAAAAAAAACAGTTTATAAAAAAAGTTTTAACTAATTTTCGACAGATTCTTGTGCTGTCAATTTTATCTTTTCTTGACAGAAACTTAATTAATTAGTTAATCTTGGAGAATGAGAAGTCCTAAGACTGCAAGGGAAGGAATAGTTCAATGCTCTTTTATGACCTGGGTTAGTAAACTCTCCCCTCTTTTATGCGAGCTTGCTTATTTTTTCCCTTGTTGAAGTGTGTTGAATACATTCCCTTTGATACAAAAGAAACAAATGATACAATATTTTTAAATCTCCGTCTATCCGTAATCCATGATGAAAACATCAAGTAAATCTAGCTATGGAAGAGGGGTACATCCATGTACACATAAATATCTTCACATTTCAACCAGGATTTAATTATTTTAAAGATTGTCAGTGTTCAACTTCAGAAAAGCTAGAACAGATAAAAACCAAAGGAAGCCGGAAATTATTGTAAGGAAATGAAGGTGGGTGGGTGTCATCAAATCTGAAAATAAACAATGATAGCTTGTATGTTTGTTTTCTTTTTAATGAAGTAATCTCATATAAATTAGTTCCTTTAGCTTTTTCCTTTGACCTTAAGCTGTTCAGGCGTGGAAGAACTGGCAAAATTCCTCTTCTGTCATCGAACTCGATGTGAACATAGATGTTTTGTAGTTCACACAGCTCACAGACTTTTGATCTAAATATATGAAGAACAGGCGAGAGAAAGTCAGGAATTTCTAATGGAAATGTAACATGGCATTCTCAGAGATAAGGGCCCATTTGGATGAATTTTTAAATAGCGTGATAAAAACTAGCGCTTTAGAGTATAAACCAGTGCGTTTGAGTAGTCCTTGTAGGATATTTCCACCACTTCCCCCATAATAATCATGCTTTATTACTTCACTCCAGTTACCAAATGGGACCCTACAAGGTTTTTCTTTCTCTTTTTTCAAATTATAATATATTTGCATATCAGACTAATTGATGACAAGTTCTACCTGTACAATGTGATGGTATCACTCTGTGATGCAATTGTGGTAGTTACTCAGGTTATAGTCATTTGCCATCAGGGCTATTTCTCTGTGTCAGCGGTGAAAAGACCAGTGCAAATATGGTTATTTACCTGCACTTGCCTTGACATCGCTGTATAGACCAAGGATTCACCGGTCTGTAGTGAAATTAGAAAAATAAGAACAATATGGGGCATTTTTAATTGTTACATGTATTCGTTTTTAAAATTACTCTATATATTTAGTATATTTCCATATATAAATTCTTTCTTTTGGTGCAAAAATTCCCCTTCTTTGGGGTAAGAGTATATGATAAGAGGAGAGCTCAGTTTTGCTCCCCGTGTTCTCATTTGACAACCTCTCCCACAGACACATGCACACGCAGTCAAAACCAGGCAACACAGCACCATGGTGGCTCCCTCGTCCATCCTCACCAATTTGAAGAGTAATTTTATTTAGTCCTTAAAAGGAAAATCTGAGCATGTTTGCCGCAATGATTAAGAAGTTGAAGTTTCACCTAAAGCTCTTAAGCCATGTCTTATTATGGTTCTTCTTGGTCAACTCTTTTATGAGATCATTTAGAAATAGGATGTGATTAAACAGTATATCAACAGCATATCAATAGCTCTTGAGCATTTTAAAATGTGGAAATCCAGAGTTTGAAATATACAACATCTATGATTATATCCAGGATGATAAATATACAAGAAAACAGGGAGGTGCTTTTGCATGATGGCGCATAATGATTCACTTGTGTTTCTTGACCATGCTTGTAATTAAGCAAACCCAAAAATTCCTGCATTCTCATTATTAAAACTTCTCATTCATGCTAAGTTTATTTCAAGAAAAATTGAGATTTATGTATTGTTCTGATCTCAGAAGCAAAAATAAAACTTAGCTCAAATTTTTGCATTTTATATTTTATATTAAAATGTATATATTTCTTATTTGAGTTTTGATGGTTTCAGAAGTGTTCTGGGTCATCTGTTACTTCTTAACTCTGCTCAGGTCATGGCATTGAATGATGGGCTACCTTCTCTCTGTAAATATTCCACGTCCATGAGAAATCGTCAACCCAAATGGGTCCTGTTTCCTTTTATTTATTTTTGCTGAAGAAGATTCACCCTGAGCTAACATCCAGTGCTATCTTCCTCTTTTTGTATGTGAGCTGCTGCCGTAGCACGGCCACTGACAGACAAGTTGTGTAGGTCTGCAGCCAGGAAGCAAACCCCAGCTGCCAAAGCAGAGCGCACCAAACTTAGCCACTAGGCCACTGGGGCTGATCTCCTACTTCCTCTTCCAATCTCATTACCAGAAGTTACTGGTTCTGTATTTTCACATATACTCAGACTTGATTTTTGTTGAC